CAAAACAATCTTAAAAAATAAATTGGAGGTTTTACATTTGTTGTTTATAAAATTTCAAGAGAGACAGACATATAGGCAAATAAGACAGAATACAGAGCATGTTCTATAAACATTGCACATTGTAAATGGAAGTTTCTGTCCCGCCTGGTCCCGCAGATGTTTAGTCCCAAATAAACACACAGAGGCTTCTAGTAATTATAAACTGTTTGCCCTACTGCTCAGGCTTCTTATTGGCTACCTCTCTCTTAACTATTAACCCATTTCTATTAATCTATGTATCTCCACATTGACTTGGCTTACCAGTGATGACCAGCCCTCTAGCTTCCTCGGCAGCTACATGGCATTTTCCTGACTCCACCCACTACTTTCTCTATCCCTGTTTGCATTTCCTGTCTGGCTAAATCCTGCTTGTCTGTTGGCCGAAACAGCTTTATTCATCAACCAATAAGAGAAACCTATTCACAGCATACTGAAGGGCATCCCCCATCAGCATGCAAGTGAAATGACATTCAACAAGACCAGTCGATGAGAAAAATCAACCCTTTAAGACAATGATGAGGAAAAGTAGGATATCCAAAAGCAAAGGAATGAAGCTGAACCCTTGCAAGAATCCACTCAAAATGAGTCACCGTCTTAAATGTAAAACAGTACTATAAAAATTCTAGGAGAAGCTGAACACAGTACATGCTTAAGCATATGTGCTAAGAAAATATGATTTAAGAGGCAAAAACCCATACAAAATGTTAAAGACTCTTCATTTGCACTTGTTAAAAATATGAAACTTCCCTGCTATTTTTCAAAAGCCCCAGCAATTGGAAAATGGATTAGGACACATAGAGAGGCCCTGTCACAAAAAAAAACTTTTTTGTGAATCTATAATTATTTCAAAACTGTTAAAACGCAATGATGTTTAAACACCTCCTGACTAAAGAAACATAGGTGTCTTTGGGGAAACTGTAAAAAACCCAGGCATAGGTAGGTATCAAATGCTAGTAAGAAATTACTGCTGATTTGCTTAGGTGTGGTGATGGTGTTAAGAATTGTGATACAAGTGAAGAAACTTTTAGGAGTAAAGTATCCTACTTAAAAACTTATTTCCAAATAGTGTATGCAAATAAATTAGTAACATATATACAAACATACTTGAAATTCAATCACACTCATATGTACATATATGAACATACACATAGTCTTATAAATATGCATATAATACACATATACAAAAAAACATATAAACTTAACACATAAATATAACAGGTCATAGTCACAAACATAGATTATGAGATGCACACAACACAATACATACTACCAGCACATCATGCATAACTGATGGGGAAGTCCTGTGTATATGTAAATAAAGCACTGTAGGCCAATAGGGAAGCAAGATAGGTGGGACTAGGAGTCCAGGAGGACTCTGGGAAGGAGAAACACAGAGAGTCATCATGTAGCTGCCATAGGGGTAAGAAGTCCGGACCCTTTTCTCCGGTAAGAGAAATACATAGATTAACAATTATGGAGTAAAATACTTAAGTCAGAGCTAGCCAGTAAGAAACAAGCAAAGCCAACAGCTTCATAATTAATACAGCATCTTGTGTGTTATTTGGGGACTACAATGCGGCAGAGCCCAGGCGACTGGCAAGGAAAAGGCTTCACTCAACACATAACTGTTACATATTACATGTATTGACTGCTAAATTTACACAGTGGGCAATGGGTGTTCACACTCTTTCAATTTTCTATTGTAATATTTCAAAACCTTGTCAAAAGACAGGAGAGGTGTAAATGCTTCTGGGAGAAGTGCTGAAAGAGAGAGAGAGAGAGAGAGAGAGAGAGAGAGAGAGAGAGAGAGAGAGAGAGAGAGAGAGAGAGAGAGAGGAAGAAAGAAAACATGTCTGTCATGATGGTGTAAATTATAATCCTGATAGATACCTGGAAGGCTGAGGCAGGAGTATTGACTGTGTGCTCAAGGCCAGCCTGAGCTATACAGACAGTTGTAAGCTAGCCTGTGCTATGCAGCAAGTCCATCTCAAAACAAAACAAAACATGAAAACTTGCATGTTCACAACAAGGAAAGGAAGACAAAGAAACTTGTCAACTCCGCATCTTCATAAGGCGACAAGTACCCGGCAGGGAAAACAGTTGTGCTGAAAGTGCCAGGTACCACACAATTGGTAAGAACAGCTGGTGGCCAAGTTCCGACTACGTCAACTGCACACATTCACTCGCCATACTCCATACTGCTTGAGGCAACATGTATTCTAAACCGGAAAGATCTACCACGGTCAGAGGGGGGAAATTGCTTCGTGCATTGCACGCCCATTCTGTGATCTTGTAGTTACAGGGACGGCCATTTTCCATTCACTCCGCCAAAGTTTACTCAACACTCACAGTGTGCCAGACTCTCTTCTTGGCAACCATGTTTAAGCAGTGGACCTGAGCTGCACAGTAATGGAAAACAAAGCAAAGAACAAAATACCCCACTGTTACCATCAAACACTCTACAAACTCAGGACAGTCATAGACCTTTGTTTGTGTTCTGTACCAGTTTCTAACCGCTGCTCCCAGTGCCAAGCAAACTCAGAGAATGCACTGCCCAGGACAGCAGGCTTGAGCTCTGACTTCCACTTTAACTCAGACTCCGGGGCCAGCAGCCCCATGCCTAGGCCAGTGAGGGTTAGGGTGGGGTTAGGCTTAGGCTTAAGCTTAAATTTAGATTTAGGGTTAGGCTTAGGCTTAAGCTTAGGTTTAGGCTTAGGAATAGGGTTAGGGATAAGCTTAGGGTTAGGTTTAGGGTTAGGCTTATGCTTAAGCTTAGGTTTAGGTTTAGGCTTAAGGTTAGGGATAGGGTTAGGAATAGACTTAGGGTTAGGCTTAGTGTTAGGGTTAGGGTTCCTGAGCTGAAGGGGTCAGTGGTGAAAGATCATGATTCTGACAAGCTTCCCCTGGTGTCTGCTAAACAGACCTGGCTGACAGAGGCAGGGGAGCAGGTAGTGAGAACGTTCAGTGAGGAAGTGGTTGAATTCTGGGAATTCCTTGAAAGTAGAGGCATTGGATTTTGAAGACACTATGGGGAATAATGGGGAAAACATCAAGGCAAACGCCGAGGAATGGAGAGGGAGGGGTCATTTACAGAGTGACACACTAGGTGCAGAGTGGGAAACGCACCCAAGTCTGGGATGTCGGACCCGGAAAGGAGTGGACTTCGGGGGCCTTGTGGGTAACGGCCACCCAGTCCACACCAGTTGTGGTGGATGAGGGAAACGCAGCAGCCAGCAGGGAGAGAAAGGGAGACGGGTTGGAAGACTTCACAGGTCCTAGGACAGGGAAAGCAGACACACGAGATGCAGGGAGATGATGCCGTCTCGGTGAGGACAGGGATGGAGGAGAAGGTAGAAGAAAGCGTAGGAGCGGCCACGGGAAACAGGTATTCCAATCCCTAACCCTGAGAAGGGAAGGAAGAGAGGAGGGAGGGAGGGAGGGAGGGAGGGAGGGAGGGAGGGGCTCATGTGCACGAGGCAGCAAGGTCGGGAGGCGGGCTAAGTTCATGGAGTCCGACCCAAAGAAAGAAAAAAACTGTTATCTGCGCCCTGCGGGGTGACACGGGGCACCGGGCACAACTAAGCTACCAGCGGCCAGCATCCGCTTCAGACTCCACGACCTACAGCCATCAAGGTCCAGCGCCTCTGTGGGAGAGGGGGCGGGGGCGGGTGGAACCCCACCCAGAGAACGGGGAGACGCCAACTCATCTCCAAGGGCCGGAATAACCAGCTCACATTTGCCTTCGCGTCTCGAGCTCTGAGGCTTAACGAACCGACAAAGTCCAGCCACCTGTCCCAAACCTTCCATGTGAGGTCGTCCTCCTGCGATGGCTCCTTCCGCTGTGGTCTCCCCACCCATCGTCCTGCGGGACCTTCCATTTATTACCAGCCAGGGGTCTTGATGGAGTTCTTTTCCTCATCGTTTAAAGAATTAAAAGGGGAGCGGGGTGTAGGGGACCCTGTCTGGCTAGCTGTCGAAGCAGCCCCCAGAGGGAGTGAAGTTCCCTGTCTACTGTTAGGTTTTATAGATAAAAGCTACCTCAGTAGGTATGGGTTGCTTTCTGGTTGGTTGACATTTGGGAACAATTAGGGCAAAAGTCATAGTTTGGCATGAAATACCTGTGTACCAATTATTTTCACTGGTCAGTGCTGAGAGGAAACATTCTGTGGTTTCTATGACATTGTCTTATTACTTGCAGGTGGCCTGTTGTACACAGATACCAATAGTTTTCAGAGCTATATCCTGGAGACTTCAGGGGAGGTGTTGGTCCCCCCCCCCCTTGGAGTTTCTTTTGTGGCCAAACAGTTCCCAGGAACCAAGTATCTAGGAGGCTGGGGGGAGGGGGAGATCTGGAGTTTCTTTGTGTTCAGTTTTGGCCCTAGACTCCCAGAGGCCAGAGGATCTGGAGTTTCCTTGTGTCAGAGGCCTACGTGTCTTTTTTGTAGCCTGTCATGGCTGCTAAAGCAGGGGGCTGAGGAAGGGTTTGGTCTGTTTATTTCTAAATTATTATAAGTGAAGCCCTTGAGTTTAGTTTACCCCTTTCACACGTGAATTTGTAAATTTACTATATCCATTCCTCTAATATTTATTTCACTTAAAAATATTTACCTATGCCAAAATAGCAAAAAAAAAAAAATGCTTGATGGTCTCAACTAGAAGCTTCATCAATTTGCCTTTCCATTTAAATAATATGTCGAAAGCAGGGGTTATCAAAACTATAGCCCCTGGGTAAAAGCTATTCCAAATCTTGTGTGTTTGGGTAAATAATAATTTTTATAATTTTGTTTTGCATTTTGGAGACTGAATCTTACTACATGGTCCTTGCTGGCCTGGAACTCGTGGCAAGCTGTCACTGCCTCTAAGTGCTGAGATTTACAGGTGAGCACCACAAGGCCTGGCTTCTGTCGCTAGATGATTTTTTAAATTGTATTTCACAATGAAAATTACAGGAAATTCAAGTGTCAGAGTCCATAAATAAAACTTTATTGAACACATCCACACTCTTTTGCTTACAAAGCACCAATAACTACTTCCACATCACATCATTTGTGGCTGAGGAGCTGCAAAAGAAATGATTTGGTACAAAGTTTAAGATGCTATCCTTCGCTTGCAGGAAAGAAAATGCTGACCTGTGGGATAAGGTATCCAATTGGACTATATAAAAACTTTTTCCCCAAACCACAAGATAACACTTCACACAACTAGGTCAAACAATAATAAACATTGGTAAGGACATGAAGACATCAGAGCAGTCATACATCACTGGTACATAAGTGGTTCAAGTGATACGGACATCAGTTCCTCAAAAAGCAAAGACCCAGCAATTCCACTCCTAAGCATCTACCTAAGAGTACTAAAAATACTTTGGCACATGAGTTTGTATATGTGTTCAAAACAACATTATTCTCAACAGTGAAACCTGAAATGTCTATCAATCACTATGCAAAATATGGTTTTAATCATACGGTAAAATGTTTTTCAGCCACAAAAAGGATCCCAGTACAACATGAACTTTGAAAACACGTGCTAAATGAAATGAAATAGTGACCATGGGCCGCATGTTTTATTTTTCTACGAATGTTAATTTTTTTAGAATTCCAAATACACACTGAAAATAGATTAGTTGTTGCCAGGGTCTCAAAGGAATAGAAGAATGCTAACAGTTACACAGGTCTTTCCCCTGGGTAATGAAAATGTCCTGGGATTACAGAGTGGAAGTGACTGAACAGCCTTATGAGAGAATACTAAGAGCCACTGAATGGGACACTTCATTTTTAAAGCTTGAATGTTAGTTTCTCAGAAATGACCACTAATGCTGAGTGCCTGTGGTTATCAAGGCTAGATACATATCCTTATATATGAGTTATTTTCTGCTCATACTTCATGGTTCATATTCTGAAACGATTTATCTTTTCAGAGCCATAGCTGTTTTCCTGTGAAACCAAAGTCTTGTTCTCTACACCTGTTTCTGCAAGAAAACCACTTCATTAACTACCGCTCATGAAGAAATCCCGTCTGTGGCTTAATTGCTCCTCCCTGTAACTGACATGAGGGAAGGTTGCTCCTTCCTAAATCCTAGCCTTCTGCTGCATGACATCACACCCTTGCATGTCACACATGACATCACACCCTCGCATGTCACACATGACATCACACCCTAGCATGTCACACATGACATCACACCCTTGCATGTCACACATGACATCACACCCTTGCATGTCACACATGACATCACACCCCTCGCATGTCACACATGACATCACACCCCTCGCATGTCACACATGACATCACACCCCTCGCATGTCACACATGACATCACACCCCTCGCATGTCACACATGACATCACACCCCTCGCATGTCACACATGACATCACACCCTCGCATGTCACACATGACATCACACCCTTGCATGTCACACATGACATCACACCCCTCGCATGTCACACATGACATCATACCCCTCGCATGTCACACATGACATCACACCCCTCGCATGTCACACATGACATCATACCCTTCGCATGTCACACATGACATCACACCCTTCGCATGTCACACATGACATCACACCCCTCCCATGTCACACATGACATCATACCCCTCGCATGTCACACATGACATCATACCCCTCGCATGTCACACATGACATCATACCCCTCGCATGTCACACATGACATCACACCCTTCGCATGTCACACATGACATCACACCCCTTGTGCGTCATACATGCAACTGCCTTTCATTGTGAAAGGAAGTGAATGATCAAGACTAAATTCACAGGGTTGGAGATATGCAATACATCCTTGGGGAGAGTATCTTCAACATTCAACAATTGTACAATTTACCATAGAAGACTTTGCAATTGTGTGTGTGTGCGTGCGTGCGTGCGTGTGTGTGTGTACATGGCAGCAGTATTTTAATTAATGACTCTGTTACCTCCCTGGCCCCATCTCACATCATCCCATTCAAGGCACAGTGGTCTCGTGACTGTTCCTCAAATACAGTATGTTCTTGCCTGTGTAGGAATACTCTTCCCTAAGTAACTACTGGCTCCTTCATAGGTCATTATGAATCATCTTGGTGAGGACTTCCCCGATCTTTTTTTAAAACTGTAATCACTTCTATCCAACACACACATCCCATCCCCCTCTCAGCTTTATTTTTCTCCCAGGCATCAACCACCATCTGATACACAACGTGTACCTGTTTTTCTCCTCTGTAGATACCTTGTTCAACTTTCTGCTATAGTACCAACTCTCAGAGCAAAATGCAGGGACTCTACACAGTTGACTAAGAGAGACAAGAAGTTGGACCAGTCTAATGAGCAATCTGCAGCCATACTTGAGCACTGATAACGTTAGCATCTAAAGGATGTGGATTAATAGAAACTATTAAGATGGTGGCCATAATTATAAAGGTTCCCACAATCTCCAAGTTGGATGTAAAACCCTGCTCTGGACATTACATTCCTGGACTCTAGACATGCTTTAAGATGCTGAAATGTGCCTTCTTGGCCACCAAAGTGGGAGGGAGTGGGAGCAAACTTAAGGGAAATCAACTCTATCTTTTCGGAGATTTCTTTTCACTAATGACTATTCACTCACAGGATTTGTTTTACTATTGATGTTTGTCGCTGTTTGAGTCAGGGTCTCACTATGTAGACTTGACCGTCCTGGAACTCATTAGGTATACAGGGCTGACCTCTAATTCACAAGACGTCTGCATGCCTCTGCTTCCCAAGTGCTGGGATAAAAGGTATGTGCCATCACACCCAGATACATTCATAGAGTTTAATTCTCTAACCTAGTACTAAAATTCAAGGTTATTAAAATGGTGAAAGGACAGAATCCAGAGTCAACAAAATTTGTTCTCCTTTTTAATTTTTTCATGGGCATGGAATGGAAAGGGTTGGTTTACTGACTTGCTGGGTAAGAGAACACACACAAAATACTTCGGTCAGGAGTCTAAAAGAACTATTGAAGGGTATCACCTATAGATAACACAACAAATTTTCACAAAATCTGTGGCTTAAAACCACATGTTAGTTCTCTACATTTAAGACTGGAATTGATTCACTTACACTGGCCTAATAAGAATAAGAATACTTCGTTCTGGGGAGACATTGGAGAGAATCCATTTTCTTGCCTCTCCGGCTTTCAGAAGCCATTCACAATGTGGACGCTCCAGCCTTAAAACCAGGAACGGGTAAATAAAATGCTCACAAAAAGACAGGAAAAGCAAATCAAATGTCCATTCATTGGAGTACTCTACCTTCTGCATCTGATTCCAGGCAACTTTGTCTGTCTATCAAGGGTCTGTGTGATTAACTGGGACTCATCTTGATAGCCCAGGATAGTCCCCTCTCTGTCCTATTCCCCAGTCATTCAGACCTAACACTCTTTAGTCAGAAGCATCCATCTTCTATAGAGCACTTGTTTCCTTACAACAATTATTCTTGTTCATTTGGGGAAATTGATTTTAGAAAAGAGCAAGGGAAAAGAATTCATATATCATACAAACCCCACGTGGCCTCATTCCAATTCCATAGCTGGCACCTCTTCCTTGGGGTGTTTGCCCTCAGACCACAGCTGGTCTGGTGCTGATTTCCTGTTCCAGGATCTAGAATGCAGAATCAAGAAGCAGGGACACTGCTAACATTAACACTGCAGTACATTCATGTTTTACTTGAGAGTAACAGACACGAGTGTCCCTTGAGTGATGTAGACAGTCCACTAGAGGTTCTCCTATGTCTTACTAATACACATAACACAATACAACAGCAGCTTACAACATGTATGTTGTGACCCCTTTGGGGTTAAATGACTCTTTCACAGGGCTTACCTAAGACCATTGGAAAATACAGATATTTACATTGCAATTCATAACAGTAGCAAAATTATAGTTATGAAGTAGCACCAAAAATAATTTTATGGTTGGGGGTCACCACAACATGAGGACCTGTATTAAGGAGTCACAGCATTAGGAAGGTTGAGAACCACTACTATAGAGACAATATGTATATCACGGGAGCATGAGACCAATCGTTTTAATGATGAGGATGAAAAGTATGGAAAGGAAATATACCTCAATCTCAGAACGCTTAATATATTCTGAGATGAATAACTCCTCCAAAAACTATCTTTGTAGGAGTCTGACAATATCTTTGGCCTTTATTTTTCAGGCACCAATAGCTTTTCCACCATGTGGGTGTAGGGAACCCAACCCAGGTCCTCTGCAAGAATAACAAGTGCTCTTACCCACTATCTCTCCATGCCCACCATATGATAGTTCTTCCTGTCAAAGAAGGGCATCCATACAGAAGACTGAGATGTCTGGCTTCCTTATGAATCTACTCAACAGCCTTAATCATTTCAAAACAGACTTATGATTCTTCCTCCATAGGAACCAGAAGTCAGAAGACAGGATCAAGTCAAAATTACCAGATCTACTCTCAGGCCTTTGAATCTGTCAACTAAATTGTCTAGCTTTCATTCTGCCAGCATTGCACTGAGGAAGGACATGCTAGGATCATTCTAGATTTTTCTGTAACTTTCTCCTCCCTATCCTCAGAATGCCATAAGCTTTGTAATCCAAGTTCCAAAAGAAATGATTCTAGGCTCAGGATGCTCTGATTCTGGAGAAGCTTCTGTCTATATATACCTGTATATGTTTATAGCTTCCTGTAACCATGATCTAGCCTTTGCAGGATTTGTCTAACAATATCTTTGACCTCTATCCACTGGCAAAGGTCTAAGAAAACACCATTTCCTTTTATCTTCACTTTTATATACATTACCAAATTATTATATAAAAACATATAAGGAAAAGGTACACAATTGTGATCTCCTAAGAAAGCCATTAAATTTTTCCACCATCCATTGCTAACCTACAACAAAATATGAACACACTTACCATGATTGTAATAATAATCTATTTCATGCCTTCTTTTGCAATGATCTAAGTATTTTTAGTATGGCAATAAAACCTCTGGGTTTTGCTGAACTTTAAACAAATTAGTGTCCTAAATGATAACAATGGTGAAGGCAGGTGATAGCTGAAATACATCAATTCAATATTTTCTTGTCAACAACTAAAGCAATGGATTCTATTTCTTAGAAGCAGCCCTTTCCATCATGGACAGCACTTGAGTCTTAAGAGGGACAACTTCATTTCAATCACAAGCAGCTACTACATCCAGTTTCACCTCAGTCCTCAGTGTCCTGGAGGCCCCATCAAGCAGAATTGCACTCAAACAGCAAACTCAACTACATCCTGTGGTTGCTGCAGGGTCCTGTGTGGGACCTATTACCACTATGCCTTTGCTGATACAGGAGACACAGTAAAAACTCCTGACAAAAGCTTCTCTTCCTGATTACACTTTCAAGCTTTGAGTCTAATAAGCATCTGCTTAGGTGATACTCACTATTAAACATACCTCCTACCAATTACCTACTGAATGCATTCATAGGTTCTTCCCAATTTAAGTATCCTGATGCAAAGGTAGATGGGTATCTCTAGGGAAATATCTTCCTCACTTCCGGGTGCTTTATTTCAGTGTATGCACTACATGTTTGGTATAGGCAGAATCATCCCTGAAACCTTTTCTACGTTATTACCACCCAATCCTCTCTTCAGAAATTCCCTAATAACAGAATTGACGGGATTATAGAATATTTCATATTGAAATTCTTTTCTGTTATCAAGGGAAATCACACCTGAAGATGTATCTCCTTTGTTCACTCAAGAAGAGTATGGCCCACACTTGTTATGCTTCTATAGGCTGCTCTTCAAGGTGTGTTCTCTGATGTCGGACAAGACACCAGCTCCTTCTAAATATTTTCCCACATTGAGGACACTGGCTGGGACCCTCCCTGTTATGAAGTCGCTGGTGTACTACCAGGTGAGTGTTCTGCCTGAAGGACTTTCCACATTTCAGACACTGGTATGGAGTCTCCTTAGTGTGAATCCTCTGGTGCTTGGTCAGACAGGAACTATCCCTAAACGCTTTACCACACTGATTACACTCGTAAGGTCTTTCCCCAGTATGAATCCGCTGGTGCCGGATAAGTCCAGCGATGTTCCTGAAGAGTTTACGGCACTGGTTGCAACCATAGGGCTTCTCACCAGTGTGAATTCTCTGATGCCTGATGAGGTATGCACTCTCAATAAAAGTCTTCCCGCACTCTTTACATTCATAGGGCTTCTCACCGGAATGAATTTTCTGATGCACAATGAGGTGAGAGTTGCGATTGAAGGATTTCCCACACTCCACACATTCAAAAGGCTTCTCGCCGGTGTGTGTCCTCTCATGCTGGGTGAGGTAGGAGCCGTCTCGGAAAGCCTTTCCACATCTGCTACACTCATACGGCTTCTCACCGGTGTGGATTCTGAGATGCACAGTAAGGTGAGAGATGTCCGTGAAGGGTTTCCCACATTCATTACATCTGTACGGTTTTTCCCCTGTATGAGTTCTTTGATGCAAAATCAGGGATGAGTTTCTGTTGAAAGTTTTCCCACATTCTAGACAAGCATAAGGCTTCTCACCTGTGTGAATCCTCTGGTGTTGCGTCAGAGCGGATCCGTCACTAAAAGCTTTCCCACATTTACTGCATTTATACGGTTTCTCTCCTGTGTGAATCCTTCTATGTACAATCAAGTTGTAGTTCTTGGAGAATGACTTTCCACAATCATTACAGGTGTAAGGCTTCTCACCAGTATGCGTTCGGTGGTGTAAAACAAGAGAAGAGTTCCGTTTGAAGCATTTGCCACATTCATTACATTTATAGGGCTTCTCAGTGGAATGACTTCTTTTTTCATTAAGAGATGAACTCAGGGACAAGACATCCCCAAAGTCCTTACCTTTGTGAAATGTCTTGCTTCTTTTCTTAATTTTTTTGTCACAAAGGGGAGCAGTAAAGTGGCTTAAAGGTTTAATACTTTCTGTATATTTATGGGGTTTGTCTCTCATTTTGTTTCTTACAAGCTGAGCGATTTCCATGGAAGGATGAATGGCTTTTTCACAAGCATCACCGTCACCAGTTCCCTTAGCTGTGTAACTCTGGGGACAACTATATAAGGTTTGGTCGCAATCAAAGGTTTTACTATCTGAGTTACGAACATGAAAGCCGTTTGTTGTAGGAACTCTCTGGGATGCTAGGAGGGCTGGGTTCATACTCAAGTGCGCCCCCAAACCAAGATGCTCACAATCCCCTGTTTTCTCATCAGCTAAGGGAGACTGTCTCAGATTTCTTTCCTTGTTCTCACAGTAGCAATCATCACCTGAAATGGGGAAGCAGGGTCCCTCTCTTTTATACCCTTCCATTTCTACCTCAAAGGAAACTTCTTCTTCAGAAACATTCTGAGCTATTCTTCTCAGTCTCATGTTCCACACTGAAAGGAAAGAAAAAGTCACATTAGGTAAGCGCAGATATATCTAAGAGAAAATGATAATGGGCTCAGTGAGTATATTTCATTCACTTGCTGTCTTTTTCCAATTCACATATGTAAAACAGGGAGTTCAAATGAATGCCGAGGGCTGAAGCCAAGAGCGGGTTTAAAAGAAGTGGCATTACACTGTAATACTCTCACAGAACACATCAAAGGAATATTGTGTAAGGATAAATAAAACAAAAGTAGTTAATTCTGTGCATGGCAGATGGGAAGCCGAATAGCTCTGCTCATTCTCAAATGCCATCTTGGCCACTGCCTTCTTGTGCCCATCGCCAGTGCCCCTCATCAGAAGTCAACGCATACAATATGAGGAAAAAGAAAAAGAAAGCCTAGAACTGTAAACCAGTGCTATAAACGCAGCACTTGGGAGGTAAAACCACGAGGATCACCACAAGAATGAGGCTACTCTACATAGCCAGTCCCAGATCAGCCAGGGGTTACACGGTAAAGCCCTATCTATAAATAAATTAAATAAATGAATAAATAGAAATGTGGTAGCATGAAGCTAAGACTTACACACAACATATTCGTTAAAAGCTGTAAGTTATTCAAGCAGCATGGTTGAATAGTTTGGTAAATGCTATTACAATATAAAACTGTTTCTGGAGACTGGCATGTAGAAGAATGCGGATCGATCCATGTTTATCGCCATGCACAAAACTTAAGTCCAAATGGATCAAAGACCTCAACATAAATCCAGCCACACTGAACCTCTTAGAAGAGAAAGTGGGTGGTACCCTTGAACGAATTGGTACAGGAGACAGCTTCCTGAACATAACACCAGTAGCACAGACAGTGAGATCAACAATTAATAAATGGGACCTACTGAAACTGAGAAGCTTCTGTAAGGCAAAGGACACAGTCAGCAAGACAAAAAGGCAGCCCACAGAATGGGAAAAAATATTCACTAATCCCACATCGGACAGAGGGTTGATCTCCAAAATTTACAAAGAACTCAAGAAGCAAGTCTCCAAAAAAAGGACCCAATTAAAAAGTGGGCTGCAGAACTAAATAGAGAGTTTTCAATAGAGGAGTCTAAAATGGCTGAGAGACACTTGAGAAAGTGCTCAACATCCTTAGCCATCCGGGAAATGCAAATCAAAACAACTCTGAGATACCATCTCACTCCTGTCAGAATGGCTAAAATCAAAAACACCAATGACAATTTATGCTGGAAAGGATGTGGTGAAAGGGGGACACTCCTCCATTGCTGGTGGGAGTGCCAACTGGTTCAGCCACTTAGGAAATCAGTATGGAGATTCCTCAGAAAAATAGGAATAAACCTACCACAAGACCCAGCAACTCCACTCTTAGGCATATATCCAAAAGATGCCCATTCATACAACAAAGATGTCTGTTCCACTATGTTCATAGCAGCTTTATTTGTAATAGCCAGAACTTGGAAGCAACCTAGATGTCCCTCAACCGAAGAGTGGATAGAGAAAATGTGGTACATCTACACAATGGAGTACTATTCAGCAGAAAAAAATAATGGAATCCTGAGATTTGCAGGCAAATGGATGACACTAGAAGAAACCATCCTGAGTGAGGTAACCCAGTCACAAAAAGAGAATCATGGCATGTACTCTCTCATATATGGATTTTAGACATAGATCTGGGGAGTGCCAGCCTACAATCCCATGGCCAGAGAGTCTGGGAAACAGAAACTTCATTTAGTGGCTGATCGAAGAAGAGGCAGACTCCCTTGGTTAAGTACTGAGATGAACTCAAGAAAGCCAGTAACAGAGAGGGAGGACTGATGATCAAAGAGATTAAGACTGGGCTGGTTTAACCCCCAGAAACAGCTGACCAGACAAAGGTTAACTCTTGAATCCCAGGCATCAGCCTGGGAATCCAGCATGGGACTGATCAAGACCCCCTGAATCTGGGTGTCAGTGAGGAGGCCTAGGGAATCTATTGAGCCTTGGGCAGCAGATCAGTACCCATCCCAAGTATACACACGGACTTTGGACTCCCATAGAACAATGTGAGGTGCACTCTCACCCTGAACTCTTGGGGAAGGGTCTAGGCCCTGCCCTATATGAAATGACAGACTATGGACACCCCCATGGAGGGCCTCACCCTCCCTGGGGGAATGAGGGGATAAGGGGGGGATTGGGGGGAGGGCAGGGGAGGAGGGGAGGGAAAGGGAGAGGGACCTGGAACTGACTTGTGAAGCAACCTTGTTTCTTATCTAAATTTAAACTGGAAAATTTTTTAAAAACTGTTTATTTTCGTTTCCATTATGCAAATATAATCGTGGTTATCTCAGAAAATAAGAACAAGTGAATATCAATACACACCTATGAAATGATCTTTTTTTTCTAACTTTTTTTTTTTTTTTTTGGTTTTTTAAGACAGGGTGTCTCTGTATTGATTTGGAGGCTGTCCTGGAACTCGCTCTGTAGACCAGGCTTGGCCTCGAACTCACAAAGATCCTCCTGCCTCTGCCTCCTGAGTGCTCGGATTAAAGGCGTGCGCCACCAACGCCCGGCCTAACTTTTTATTTTACTTAATGTGTATAGGTGTTTTCTACGCAAATATATCTATGTACCGCATACATGTCTAGCGCCTACACAGACCAGAAGAAGGTATGGGATCCCCTGGAACTGGAGTTTCAGATGGTTGTGAGCCACCATATAAAGACTGGGAACCACCATAGGACAGAACCAGGCCCCCTGAACATGGGTGACAGTTAGGAGACCTGGGCAGTCTATGGGGCCTCTTGCGGTGGAACCAGTATTCATCCCTAGTGCATCAATGGACTTTGGGAGCCCATTTCCCCATGGAGGGACACTATCTCAGTCTAGATACAGGGGGTGGGCCTAAGCCCTGCCCCAAATGATGTGATAGACTTTGATGATGCCCATGGAAGACCTCACTCTCCCTGGGGAGTGGATGGGGGGTGGGAATGGGGGAGCCAGTAGAGGGCATGGGAGGATGGGAGGGAGAGGGAACTGGGATTGATATGTAAAATAAGATGGTTTCTAATTTAAAGAAAAAAATACATTGTATGAGAAAAAAAAAGATGGGGAATTATATCCAGGTCCTCTGGAAGAGCAGCTAATGTTCTTAACCCCTGAGCCATCTATCCAGCCCCCTACAGAATGATCTTAAAAGAAAAGAAGGAAAATACAAACCAGTAATGATGAAGATGAAACTTAATATGATTGGTCACAATTACTTAATAGCAAAGTCGAAAACCAAAAGTGATGAAAATTTTCTTTCAAAGTACTGAAGGGAAAAGTGACCAGGTTCATCAAGATTCAGGAATGAGAGTAAAATAAAAAAAAAAAAATCAGAAAAGCAAAGGCAATTCTTCAAAAGAGAGGAGACTGAAGAAAGGGGGAACAGAAAGAAAAGGAAATGATACATGGATAAATCCAATTCAAAGCTAAAGAGAAAAAATCAGTATTAGGCAGATAAGAATCACAGTGCAATACAACAGTAGTAATATACAACAAAACGCAGGTAAGGAATCCTCAAAGGGAAGTGAGTGAGTCCTGGAGTCTGGAAAATCTAAAACCATGGTGAGATTTGGATAAGAGGTCACTCCATAGCTTGCAAAGGAACAATAAGCAAAAGAAAAGATGCTCAGTATCTCTAGACTCAGAAGAATTCAAATCACAGCAACAATGAGATACCACTTCATATTCACTAAGACGCTGTAACCAGTTCCACCTCCATGCAGTCATTCCACAAGACAGAAAAACATGCATCTATTTTTTAAAGGCTCACGGCATTATTTGTGGCATCCGAAACAAAATACGCAAAGAAATAAATACAAATCCACAAACAGAACATAACAAAACTACAAAACTGAACAAAGAACACATGTATTCTATAACATGGATGAATTTTGAAGACATTTTCTAAATCAAAGAAACCAGACACCCAGGACAATAAGTTCTACAACTAGTTACATGGATTCTCCAAAACAGATGAAAAAAGGCTACAGCAAGGAGAGATGAAGGAGGTAAAAGTGACAGTAAGTATGGGTTTGGGGGGGGGGACACTGATAAAAAGGTTATAAAACTGCCGGTCATGGTGGTGGCACTGGCCTTTAATCCCAGCACCCAGGAGGCAGAGGTTGGTGGAACTCTGTGTTTAAGACCAGCCTGGTCTACATAGCAAATTCCAGGCCAGCTAAGACTACACAGAGAGACCCTGTATCAAGCAAAAAACAGCAACAAAAATACTGAACTGTACAACCTAAGAGGATAAACTATGTGGTATGTTCATATAGTCAGGTTTTTGTTGCTGTTGTTGGTTTTAAGTGTGTTGAGCCCACCAGGATGAGACCTATTGGCCTACTCACCAGCTGGCACACTGATGGTACATTAAAAACTCAGGAGAGATGGGGGCTGGAGAGATGGCTCAGTGGTTAAGAGCACTGGCTGTTCTTCCAGAGATCCTGAGTTCAATTCCCAGCAACCACATGGTGCCTCACAGCTATCTGTAATGAGATCTGGTGCCCTCTTCTGACATGCAGACAGAACACTGTATACATAATAAATAAATCTTAAAAAAAAAACTTAGGAGAGAAATTAACAGTTACGAGGCTGTGCTAGCTTATACAGAACTACTCCTCTCTCAAGTGCTGGGATTGCAAGCATGTATCACCAAGCCCAACAAGAGTGCTTAATTCCCTTACTGCTTTTTCAAATGGAAAAAATATTGTAGGTCCTAATTCATACAAATTCTCACACACATTTATAAAATGATAGAGAAAAGACTTATGGAAGAGGGATCTCCATACACCTTAGAATGGCAAAAACAAGCATGAAATATGTAGCTTAGTGACAGTGATTGCCCAGCACATACAAGGTGCTTGTTCAAAACCAAACACACACACACACGCACACGCACACGCACACTTAAAGTAAAATACAGAGCTAAGAAAATACATAAAGCAAAATACAAGCTAAAGAGGTATCCAAGTTAATAGGATAAAGAAGAGTTTCTCTAAATAACAGAGGGCACAAAACATAACCCCAAAAAAACTGAAATGTCTAGCTATTAAAAACAAGTAATACACCATGAATCTTGGGCTTCTGGAAATCAAAAGAGTAACAAAGGGTTAAGACAAAGGAAAAGCGAATGTGGCAAAACGTTAATAACCCGACAATCTGGATGGCTTAGGCACGATCTACTAAAACTATGCCTGCAACTTAGCTGTGGGTGTGAAATCTTTCAAATTACAAAAGAGGGAGAACGGAGAGGTTATTGGAGGGAGACGGACAAAAGCGGGTTTTTACAGGGAGATAAAACTGAAAACTACATAAACACATACACACACGATTTTGCAAGTTCGGTAGAGGGAAGGAGAAACTACCTAGAAGATTCCACGGGAGACAGCCCCGCCCATTGGAGCCCGGCAGCCCTCTCAGAACGGGACCCCCGGATCCCGAGGGCCCGAGCGCCCAAAGGATCGCGGCAAAAGCTCCTGGAAGGACCGGGCTCGAGACCAGGACGCCGGACCTATGAGTGACACGGGGGAACGGGACAACCTCACCCGGTTAGGAGCGCTCTCAGCAGCCAGAGAAAGCCCTCTCTGACCCGGGGGCGTGCACACCCGCCAGGACAGCAGAGTCGCCGGCCACACCCTCCGCGTGAGCCCGAAACGCCCACGGCCCCCGTGAAACCCGACGCTGACGCCCTGCACGCCACCCCACCTACGCCCCTCGACTCCCACCCGCACGACACTCCGCGGAGAAGCGGAAGGCACCGAAGGACTCACTGTTGTCGTTCCGCAGCAGCCATGGCCGCGGAGGCCGCGCATGCGCAGACTCCGATCCGGGATGCGTGCGCGCGCGCCCCAGACGTTCAGCCGCCTCTGACAGCTGCGCACTGCTGATGTTAGCAGCTTCGCCCTGATCATCGGTCCCGGCTGCTGGCAGAGACAGACGCCCAGTGCCTGTCACCCAAGGCCTTGCGATCAGGACGAAAGGTTTCTTCACCTTTATTTGCGTAGTTATAATTAAGTCATTGAGGACTCGTGGAGACTCATTCTCTATCATGCTTCTGTCTTTTGAGAGGGCCTGGGTACAAGACAGTCTCCCCTGAGTTCTCCCGATGTTATTTTTTTGTTATAGAACTTTATTTTTATTTACTGTCCAATTTGACAAAAATACGTTTAGAGGTAAAAATGCTAACATTCAGCCAAATACACCTATTTTATTGACAATCATAGGTGGAAATAAGCTATTTTTTTAAATTTATGTGTATGGGTGCTTTGCCTGCATATATAGCTGCACCAGAAAAAGGTGTCAAATCCCCTGGGACTGGAGTTACAGAAGATTGTGAACCGCCGTGTGGGTGGGGAGAAGACCCCCCAATCTTATGGAAGAACAGTAAGTGCTCTTAACCTCTCTCTCCTTTTCCACCCCTCCAGGCCCAGGCTACCTGTTTAAAAAACAAAAGAACGGTTAAAGATTCTAGATAATTAGCGAATGTGGTTTTTTTAATCGGTAGAGCATGCCTGAGATCCCAGCACTTGTCGGAATGCAGAGAATCAGTAGACCTTTAAAAAGCCAGAACCATACTTCTATAAGATACAGATCAAAAATTTAGTGGTAGTTATTTTAGGGTAGGGTGAGGGGCTTTTGTTTGTATTGGGTCTCATGCCACTAAGTCTGGCCTCGAACTTCAACTGATTTTCCTACATCTTTGTCCCTAGTCCTGGAATTACAGGCATGTACCAATGTGGTCTTTTGAATAACAATGGCACATATATTTGAATGTCTGGTCCCTAACTGGGGGAACTATTTCGGGAGCATTAGAAAGTGTGGCCTTGGAGGTATGTCACTAGAGGTGGGTTTAGAGGTTTAAAGTCTTGCCATTACTAGTTAGCTCTCTCTCTGCCTCTAGCTTATGGATCAAATGTAAGTTCTCAGCTCTTTCTCCAGTCCCATGCCTGCCTGCCTGCCTGCCTTCTGCCATGCTCCCTGTCATGAACTCCCCCTCTCAAAATGTAGCAAGCCTCCAGTTAACCGCTTTATTTTAAAAGCTGCCATGGTCATGGTGTCTCTTCACAGCAGTGGAAAAGTAAGACAACCATCATGTAAGTATGATGCCTAGTAATGCACAAATTGTCTGCTTTGGTTGGTTTTCAAAGTCCTCGGTTGTTTTTATATTTGTCTGGCTCTATGGAGCCAGTGAGAAAATGTATCACTTTTCACGTTTACCTGACAAAAGACCTAGGAGGGCACGGGTTTGCTTTGGTTCCTTATTGCAGGAGGTATGTGCAGTCCAGTGTGGCAGGGAGAATATGGTGTAAAGAAACAGCTCACTGAATTTCGGACTAGGAAACAAAAGAGGGAACACTGCCACTCTCCGTTGGCTTGTTTCCCCCTTCTCCCCTTTGATTTTGTCTGGGTTCCCATTCAGGATGGAAATGTTAGTAGTAATGCCCCCTTGAAAACATCCAAAGGTATACGTAACCAACATCCTAGGTGTTTCTAAATCCTGACATTTTGATAATGAAGATTAACAAACAAAAAGGTTATAATTGGTTTTCTCCATTTTGAACGCCGGAAAAAAGTGAGTTTGGGGGTTCCCACCTCCTAAGACAGGGTTTCTCTGTGTAGCCCTGGCTATCCTGAACTCACTTTGTAAACCAGAGTGGCCTTGTCATAGATCCATATACCTTTGCCTCCAGAGAGCTGGGATTAAAGGTATGCACCACCACTGCCTGACTAGAGGTTTGGTTTTTGTTTGGTTTTTTTTTTTTAAGAAAATTGAATATGGCTGAAAAAAAGGGCTCAGCAGATAAGAACACTGGCTACACTTCCAGAGGACCTGGGTTTGATTCCTAGTACCCATATGACGGCACACAACAGTCTGTAACCCCAGTTCCAGGGAATCTGTTGCCCTCTACAGGCAATGCGTTACAAGTGGTGCACAGACATACAGGTACAACATCCAGATGCCTAAAATAAAGACAAGCAGATCTCTTTAAATAAAAAAAGACGAAACAATACCAACGAAAAGCAGGTCAGAGTTGTGAGTGGGAAGACAGATCTACTACAAAGGGGATCTCTAGGGGGATGGAAGCACTCTGTGTTGGTTCTGTTGGTGGCTATGGGGCTGTGTTCCAAACACACTGAACTGTTGGGCATGGTGGCACACCTCTGTAATCTCGCACTTGGGAGGCAGAGGTGGGTGGATCTCTTTGAGTTGGAAGCCAACCTGGTCAATACAGCAGGGTTCAGGTGAGCCTAAGCTACATAGTGAGTCAGCGGTTCAAAAACACTGAACGGGATGCGTGATGGTTCAGTGGGGGGAAGTGAGTTCCATTCCGAGAACCGTATTGAAATTAGAAGCGGGGAGCCCAAGACAGTGGCATACATATATGTCAGTACTCCTACCGTGAGACGGGCAGAGGACAGACAAAGCACCAGAAACTCACAGGCCAGATAACCTGGAGTACACACTGCCAATACAGGGACAAGAGACCTGTCTCACCAAAGTGTAAGGCGAGAAGACACCCCAAAATTGTCCTCTAACCCCTACACATGTGTGATGGCACAGGTGAGCCCACACTCACACACCCAAAAGAAACAAGAGAGGAACCTGGGGCAACAGAAGTTAGGATGTTTGGTGGTGGTTTCAATGAGAACGAGCCCCCCCCCATTGACTCACGGGATTGAATACACGGTCCCCAGTTGTATTTGGAAAGGAGGTGAGGTCTTGTTGCAGGCCACGGGGAGTGGTATTTGAGGTTTAAAGTCCAGACCTTTCCCAGTGTCTCTCTTGTTCTGCCTCATGCTTGTGGATCAGATGTAAGCTCTCAGCTTCTGTTCCAGTTGGTGGCCTGCTGCCATGCCCCCAACATGGACTCTAACCCTCTGGAACCATGAGGGCCAATGAAACTTTCTCTTTTATAAGCTGCCTTAGCCAAGGTATTTTGCTGTGGCAAAAGAAAAATAAGAGTCGCTTGCAAACCTTTGGATAGGACACACAGGGAGCATGCAACGTTAATGTTTTACTTTTCGATTTGAGTAGCGGTTCATGTAAGGACATTATTGATCCTTGTTTCAATTCCATCAAAGTTTACAGCTGATGAAGTAAACCCTAGGTCACAAGGGTCTCGCAGAAGTTAAGAGGTTTTTTTACTATAAACAAAAGTCTACAGTCCTGCTTGCATGGTTAACAGAGAATTGCAGGTTCGTGTCTGGGAAAGGAGTAAGGCCAAACTCAGAAGCTGTATGTGCTCAGGCCTTAACCACGGTTCATTCCTATTTAAGCATTCTCATTTGAAAACACCTCTGTGTGAAAGGAATAGAGTCTCTACATAGGCAGCTGGAATTCTTAACCCTTCGTTGATGAGAGAAGGTTCCCTCTCCTCCGTTGTTCCCTTACCATTCCTTTTCTTTATATTCTGCTTCAACTGGACTTACTGAACTCTACGGCAACTTAAACTACATATTCCCTAAACTATATCTGTCCTTCTCTCTTTCTGTTCACATCTGAACTTCTCCTTGCACTTAGATTTTCTAAGAAGGTGGCTTCTTGAATGGAGACGATAAAATGGCCCATGACTCATTCTTCTATCCATCTAGACAAGTATACAGGTGAACCTAGGCAAGGTATTTGATGTAGGGAACCATCATGAGGCCTATCTAGTTTCCTTTTTTCATAGGCTAGGCAGGGGAAAAAAATCTTAAGAATCTCCCAGAATCAGCTGGGTGATGGTGGCACGTGCCTTTAATCCCAGCACTCGGGAGGCAGAGACAGGCAGACAGGGCTATTGCTCAGAGAAACCCTGTCTCAAAAAAAAAGTATCTCCCAGAATCATACTTTAGATATGAGTTCTCCTTTGGGAGAGGTTTCCTTTCTATGACATAATAGATAAACATGACTGAACTGCTCATACTACAAACAGCTGAAACAGAACAAAAGAGGGAAAATAAGCTTTTGCTTCTATTGAAAAGGAAGGTGCTTGCAACAGGTACCAGGGAAGTCCCAGAAGAATAAATGGCTATTTGTGTGTATTTACCATGACCCAGACAATAAGGATGGGTAATGCTTTGGACAACAAAAATCAAGGCTCCAGCAACCAGCTAAGAAATGAGCCAGCCATCAAGGGTCACTACCAAGGAAGACCAACTGCTGTAAGAGACAATGAATGCTCTAAACCAATACAAACGAGCAAACACAGGAACTGTAGTTAGAATGGAAAGCTTTCTGTACCTGAACATCTTGAGTCTCAAATTTACAAACAGACAACTCAAACAAAATCTTCTGAGGGTTGAATGGTGAAGGGAAAGAAAAAATATCAAATTCAGAAGCAAAGCTTTAAATATTCTTACTAGCAAGGGGGAAAGATTTAAAACAAAGTATTAAACATGGATTGGTAGTACAGAGTCCCAGCACTCGGCAGGTGGAGGCAGGAGAATCAAGAGCTCAAGGGATATCACGAGTTCAAGGCCAACCTGCAATATTTAAGATCCTGACCTAATAAAACAAAATAATTTAATTCATGAGGCATAAGGGCATTTTTAAAGAAAACAAACAAAGAGCTGGGCATTCGGGACCTTATCTGTAATCTCAGCACTCCAGATATAAAGCCAGCCTGGACTACAGGAGACCCTGTACAAACAAAAAGAAATAGAAAAGCAAATAAAACAAAATAGCTAACATCATATAGTGTTGGGGACAGGGAGGTCCTTGTACTCACAGAGAAGCACTGAGAGAACCAGGAATGTTAATTAGATGGGAGTGTCTCCTCAATGGAGGAGCTAAAAAACAGACAGCTGTGTTCCATCCTGAAAGTGGAGAGTGGAGGTTGTTAATG